AAGCGCCTAGTTTTCAATTTTTTTGTTTTTCGATTGTGTCGCTACTATTTCTAGATACCAGCTAAATTTACTCCGACTGTTATTAAACAAAAACAAAAATAGCATGAGCCAAGTGGTGTAAAAATTTCTTTTTATTTGAGTGAAAACAAACAATGGCTAGGCCGTAGATCCGAATTCGACTTCTTCAAAGACGTAACGCGACAAATTTTTCGACAAAATCGCAACTAACTTTTCAATTTTCAAGACCATCGCGACCGAGATACTTTACTTCCAGACTTTGTACGCTACTAAAAATCTCATTCAGACTATGGAATTTTGGTCAAGGAATGAACATCAGCGCGACCGGCAAAGTAGAAAATTAAGTCGTGACTCAACCCGGGCTCCTCTTATGAGTACATTTTTCACTAGTTTAGTAAACAATAGATCTCACCTAAGATTGTTAGTTTGAGTTGCTGAGTTCGCTCGCTATACGTTAGATATTCATGAACACATCAAATCTAAGCTACTTATCTTTTCAAAATCGACTATGCTTGTCTTCAACGTCTCGTCTTGAGACGTATCTTAGTTATGGTTATGCATCCATCTAGCAAATTATTTTTGGAGAAAAAACCAGCTTAGACGTAAGTGTTATTATTATCAATAAAGTCTTTAGGACTTTGGTTCATTGAACTTTTTATTACATCACACAGTCTGCAAAAAAGTAGATGCCAATAGGTATAAACCCATTTTTCTCAAATCTTCTTCAATTATATTGGTGGAAACTACTTAGCACTCTGGATATGTAGGTCTATTTGACTTTTTACCAAAAAAGACGCAAAAAGCAACCTAGATTGTATACCGGGAAAATGGGTGCAAGAACCAGAACACAACAACCCAACAATAACACGCTTAAGTCGACAAAAAATACTTATCATACAACTCCATACTATCAAAAAATGCTTATCATACACTTTTTTTATGTTCCAAAGACTTCAATGAAGGTATGAAAATAGCAAAACACGCATTTTTTTGTACTATGGAATTGTATGATTAGTTTTTCTATGTAAATTTTTTTTGGGTTTGGCTTCATGTTTGTGTTTTGCTTTGAAACACATAAGCCAAAATTTTTCAATTGAGAAAACGAACAAACTAATTGGCACCAAAACTTCAGGTTAATCTACGTATTGACATATGCCGGTAAGTAAAAAAATACATCATCAGGTATTTCACAAATCATCATAACCAAAAATGGCAAATTAGAGAAATCATTTTAAACTAACTGATTTTGTTTCACCGCAATGACAAAAATGCCCTGTCATTACTTTAACTACATCAATGCCCTTCCATTCATTTATTCATAATAAAACGGAGGAAGAGATGTTATAAACCGTGTCCTGTTTTTTGGACTATAAACAATCAAAGACAAATCATCAGTTTTGATTATCTTCATAAGAATGAAAAAGCGTATCATACAACTCTCATAAAGAGAAATAGTGGCAAAAAAAAATTTTTTGTCCGAAAAACATTAATCTTTTGATGACTAAAAAATTCTCATTGAACTAAAGCCCGATGTAAGCTTCTTTAAACTTGCCTAAAAAGTTTTTGGAAGGTTTTCTGAAAAAAAAATCATTTTGTGGGAAAAATCCTTATCGTACAGTTTTCATACAGCCCAGGTCGAAGTCGGGGACTTAAGATGCAACCAATGCGACTCATAATGGGTTTGCTGTGACTTTGCGCGATTGAAGAGCTTTAGGCGACTTTGCGCGACCCGATAGATAATTGTTGCGATTTTGCGTGACCCACAAAAGTCGTACGATTTTGAAGTCTTTTGAGTCGAAATACTTTTTTCGGAGTCAGCTCTGAAGCACTCCACACCTATACTTGTCAATACTTAAAGGATGCATAGTACTCTTTAGCTCCCTCTTTCGCCTATTTATATTTTGATTACGCATCCAAATATTCATTAAAATTTGGAAAAAAGAAGTTAAATGAAGTTGTTGTACTCATTCAACTAACTCAAGAATCATTATCAGAAAATCATTTGAAATTGTCTCACTAAAAATTTTACTACATAATTTTTTTTTCTGTATACATGACTTCTTACAAAATTTTCAGATCAAGAATAAATACTGGAGAATGAAAATAACGCAAATTTTATTATTATTTTGTGAGAATTTTTAGTGTATTCGTGATTTCTTAACATTAAACTTATTAGAAACGCCTTCTTTCAGTTCTAACATCCAAATTTTTCTAGAAGGTTTACCGATCTGAGCCATTTAAGAAGAAAGGTTTCCTGGAAGTAAATCTAAAAGCTTTCTAGAGGCGCCAATGTTCACTTATCTCAAAAGCGTAACATGTAACTATATATTTACGTTTTTTAGAGAAACTGTCATAAATGTTTCAAAAAAGATAGTTTTTGACCGGGTATTTATTCAGAAACCTGCATACACTGCAACCAATTTTGTTTAACAAGATTGTCGTAGTAATTTTGATTGGGTCGATTTAAAACAAAAGTTCACCCGATTGTTTTTCTTGAAGATTTTCTCCTTCCCGAAAAAAAAAATAGACAAAGTGGGACCAAAATTAAAACCGTCTGACAAACTGCAAAATTTTACTTTTTGAAAAATGGAAATCTACTCAGTCAACAGAGTTTTGGAAATCTTCGATCAGTTTATACCAGAATCTGCAAAATTTTTGAGTTGGCTGAGTCATAATTGTTAAGATTTTTATGTTAAGATTTTTATCCGCTGCATGGATTTAAATTATTTGAAAATGAGTCTCAAATAATACCCTAAGATTCATTTGGTTTCAGTTTTACAATCAAGTTTTTGCTATTCATGGGGTAGTTTTTTATTGCTATGAAAACAGTTCGAGTCTGAAATGAATGTAAATTGAGCCATGAAATATATACAAGCATTCTGTATGTTCTCAAGTTATCAATTTGCGTTAATTTTTTCTCCAGTAAGTTTATTACACCCAACTTTGTTGCCAAATCCTTGGTTGTAAAGATATTTGTTTTATTCTCTGCAACTGAATTGAACGAAGAAGTCAAACTAAATCTTCGATATTTAAAAATGTTTCACAATTACAATTTTACGGTTGTTAAAGTGCACACCATACATCAAGCACTTAGTGCATTCATAATACATTAACGTGACGCAATTTTTGAGCGTTTATTGGATTTTATACCCCACGTAACATAATTCTTAACTTAATAAAGTAAAATTTATAAGTTATATGGCTGGAACGTTTTTCAATTGTCTAAAATTTTGTTCATTACGAGGTCAAACTATGCATTTTGCGAATTGTGAGTGGATTTTGCAACAAAGACGTTCCCTTTGTTCTTCTTTTGTCATTTCATTTTCTTTGATCATTCCGTCAAAGGTTTCACATGTTTAAAGACTTGTTTCTGGAACCCAGGAATATACAGATCCAAATGTATGCCCCTATCCATTGCGCACCAGGGTTGACGGCCAAAGAAGAAAAATGCTTATCATACAGCTTCATATATGAAGTCTATGGAAAAATGCTTGCCATACAAAAATTATACAATCCAATTTATACAATTTATTCAATTTATATAATTCATTATTGTTTCTGGAGTCATGGACTTACAGAACCAAAATTATGCGCCTATCCATTGCACACAAGGGCTGACGGCCATCGAAGAAAAATATTTATCAGACAGTTTCATTCATGAAATCTATGGAAAAAATGCTTAACATACAAAATTTATACAAGATTTAAAAAATCTTTTAAAAATTTTTCATGAACATTTAGGTTTTTTTGCCTCTTTTGACTTTTCTGGTCTTTAAAAAAATGATTTAAAAGTTTCGATATAAAAAGCGTACCATACAATTTTCATCTATTAAAACTATAAGATAATCATTTTGTCACAGAAAAAATAGACTTTTCAAAAATCACTAAAAAACGTCTCTGGGTAACTTAAATTAGATTCAAATAAATAGATCTAAGATAGAGGGAATTTTGCAATCAAAAACCTTATTCTGATTTCGGTCGGAACAAATGTTTATCACATAAAGTTCATTTACGAAAATTGTATAATATGCACACTTGCAAACTTGCTTTTGTGCTCATTTTGATATATTACGAAAAAAAAATTGCAATCAATGTTTGACATTTTGTGTTTATCTGAGCAATTTTTAAAATTCCAGCAAATTTCAATAATCAGTTTTTATCATTTTTGTACAAGAACTACTGATTTGGGCATTATGAAATTTTTTAACGAGTTCAGTTTTTTTGTCTATGATCCATCTTTTGTTAGTTCTTGGGATCTTTTGGAAAATTAATTTAATGTTGCCAGAACTCAATAAATTTTAACATAGCTATTGTGAACAAATTAGCTCAATATATTTGAAATCTCATAGCCTTTGTTAAAAAAAAGGCAAAATCCACAATCAAACAGCAAAATATAAAAACGACTAAAAATCGTGGCTGACCTCTTGGTTCGAAAGTGGAATTGTAGATATGTCAGATGATTTTAAATATTAAAACTTTTTCAAATATACATTTTTTTCATTAAATCGAGCTGCACAACTCTTTTGAAAATTTCTCGGTTTAAAAAAAGAAAATAAACTCATTTGCTCAAGCAACTCATTGTAATTCTTTTGAATTCTAATTTAACCCAAATCGTTCTTCTTTGCCGTAAAACAAATCGGTTTATCAATGGATAAGATATTTTTTATTAAACAGGATATTTTTAAAGGTTTTGCAGTTAATTCACATCATTAAAACTATTAGGTTAATAAAGGTTCATAATATTTGATACTCTAAGCAAACCGCAGTTGAACAAAATTTTTTGAATTTTTGTTAAAACTATCACAGTGAGCTCTTAAGGATGAAAAGATGAATATTTACAAAGCATGTGTACACTGAAGCAAAATTTAATTGAATATAGTTTTTGATGGTAACCCTTATGATGAAGCGCCATATTTCATGTGGTCGGCTAATTTAAAAAAAAAGAATTCGAGCTCAAAAAGAAGTTTATATTGTAGCTGACTACATGAAACAACTGACTATAAATACAGGTTTGTAAAGGAATCATTGTAATGGAATTAAGTTTAGATATTAAAAATTTTAGTTATGAAACTTTCATGGCTGGCCTTCGGTGTATTCAATATGGATTACTGTACAAATTCAAAGCTAAACAAGGATAGCAGTTTGCTTTGCATAGAACACATTATCAAGTTTTTTTTTAATTAATCGAGAAACTATATATTCAGAAATGTACAAATACTATGTGCACAGATAAGTGGTAATGGTAAAGATAAACAAACCAAACTGTTATTATGAGGAGAAATACTACCTAGAATTGAAAACAAATTGATATGCTTTGCTGCAAAAAGACATCTGTGCTTGTTGTTGCTTTTCAAAGTTTTTGCTCAGTCCAATTCCATGAATTGATTTTGGACGTCAACCCCAAGCCACACAAGAAACGTATTGGGAAAGTTGTTCTGGTTAAGTCTGTAAGATTGCCCTGGCTCGAAGCATTTCTTGAAGGACTCTCGAAGTTGATTGTGTGGTGCGTACATTAGACACAAAGCCAGTTTTTTGGTATTCTCGTCCATCAAAGCCAAAAAATTGCGTCCAATGTTAAAAGGATCGGGTTTTAAGAATTCGGTTTTTATTCTGTCAATAGTCTGGTTTTCGAGGTTTTTCTTAGCGCACTCTTTAAGCTGCTTATTTTCCTCGTCAGTAAGGTCACGCTGAAGTCGGAACTGAACTTCGGATTGAATGTCATCAATTATAAATTTGACCAAAGACCATTGAGCTTCAACGAAGCTGTTTTCAAGAAGGAAGGGTATCCAATCGTGTTTCAATTGTTTCAGTGCTTCAAAAAAACAACTTGGCATTGGAAGCTGTTGATCTCTTGTCAGGGATTGTAGATCATTTTGATTGAGAAGATCGAAATATGCAATATTTGGGCCCCCGAACACCTCAGATTTCACTTTCAGTATTGGTTTAGTCGTTAAAGCAGTATCAAACTGGCATTGAATTTCAAGCGGTCTGAAGCTGCAATTTGTGAGCATCATTTCTATTTTTAGTGTTCTCGCTTTCTGAAGAAGGAATGGGCCTCGATCATCGACTGAAATTAGACAACAAAAACAATAAGAACGACGAAAATCAACAAAACTTGAACTTCGGTAATCTTCTAATAAGGCCTCGGATTTAAGCTAAGATTTTTTTGCAAATATTTAACTCTTGACGCTTTAGCCTTTGATTTTAACTATTCCTGTAGAATATGAGCTTTTCTGTAATTATTTCAGCAGAAGTTGTACCAAAACAGAGAGTATTTCAGAAACTATCCTACAACCCTGATATCCGTAACAAATCACAGAGTTGGGGATTTGGCTAGATGCTGTAAACAAAAGGAAGAATTTTTTCCGTCAATCGTTACCACAAGAAGAATACTCGGGCTTTTACTCAGACTCGCTGGATTTCTTAACACAAAATTCGTTGAAATTGATTTTTACTACTGTTACTGCAGTACACCTTTGTTTTCAAACTACGAGTAAAAATTTATGTTTTTAGCTGATTTCATGACTCTAAAAGAAGTATTAAGGAACTAAAGCTATTTTTACAGAACCAAAACTTGGAAAAAAAAGAACTAAATATAACCGCTTAGATTAGAAAATAACAGTTGTTCTGAAAAAAAATCTTGTGAACTTATTTTATTTCAACAATCGCAAAAAAAGAACGAAAATACGTTTAGGCGACATATTAAGTCATTGATAAAATGAGTCAATTTTATTCCTTTTCTGATTTTTATTGATTGAAATATGTGAATAATTTCATTTGTAACAAAAGCAATTAAATGAATGAACGAACACATTGTATTTCATCTGAAAGTTAATTAGTGCATTTTACGAGGTTGAATTTCATATGTTTTTCTGAGAAACAATATAGGAAAATTACATTTGGCTTTGTCTTAAAATCCCATCAAAACAACCAAATATTATACTGCAGCAGAAATTACATATATCTCATCAAATCAATCAAAACCAAAAACCACTTGCCATTCTAGTTTGAGAAAATTTTGCCTACATTTTTACGCATATTTGCGCCATTCCAAACTGTCCGAAGAATTGTAATCCACAAAATTTAAACTGAGAAGCTTTTTCTAAATTTTCATTTATTTTTCGTCTATTTGACCAAATTTACGTAATACATAAGAAAAAAAATTTAAATCCATTTTCATCCCAAAAAAAATTAGCGTATTTAACTGTATTCTTAGAGTATTTTGAAAATCATTGCTTCAATTCGTTGAAAAAACTCAGGAATTTAAGAACCGGATAAAAATTAAACCGGATAAACTGGATTGCTAATCAGGCAATATTGGCAAAAAGATAACGCTTGCACCAATTGCTCAAAAGGAAAATCATTACTTATGAAAAAATAATGATGTGTGAATTTTTTTAGAGATTTTTTGAAAGTTTTTAGACAATCGCATTCTTCTTCTTCTGATTTGGAATGAAACCAGAAACTCTGTTAATTTTATGTTTTAATTCAAATTTGCTTGTCGGTCGTTTAGCAAGTGGATTTTTTATACAATTTTAATTAGGTTATAAATATTTTCTAAAGAGTTACACACCCTTAATAATTAGAGAAATTGAGTCAGAACAATCAAATTTTTTGTCGGCATTTTGGCAATTGGATTCAAATTCTCATATATTCGATGTCTAAAAAACAACATAGATCATTATGATCTGTTTGTACATTTATATTTCGTTGACGCCAGCAAAATGTTATGCGTTAAAAATTTGTGTGCAGATCCTACAAAAATTTTGTATGTAGGACCACTTTCATTTTGGAACATTTTTGAAATCTTGTAGGGATTTCAGTGATGTTCAGACACCAAATTGCGCGCCTATCCAGTGCTCAGTTTGAGCTCGTGATGATTAACTAATGAAGGTAAACCTGCCGAAAAGAGACCCAATAGTTTATGGGCTTCGATTTCGATTTTTGCTTGATTTATTACCTGCTAAAGCTCTGAAATATGGAAACTGTATTTATTTGTTGCATATTTGTTTTTTGTTGTTCATTTCATGATGTTTGGACTGTTTTGTACTGGAATGTTTTGTGTGGGACTTTTTCTATATGCCCCAAAATATCAGCGCTTACCAAAGTTACTTTAATTTATAAACAATTATATAACTTGTTACCTTCTAGCTCAGCTGCAAACTTAGAAGAGCGATTGGGGATGTTGTCAAGCTTTGTATAAAACCAGTTAGGTTTTCTCAAATAACTGAGCCGCTCATCCTCGATGTCAAACTTTCCCCATCTGATCTCGAGGTCAAATTCGTTCGCACGTGGATTAGTTGGTGATTGTTGTTTTATCTTTAGGTAAAATTCATCTTCAGTGAAGAACTGGCCGGCTTTCGATCCAATTCCAAGAGCACTCACAACCTAAACAACATGAATTGATAACAAAACTGCTCATATCAGGGCGAAGCCCTGAGTGTTCCGACTGCCTTTTAAGGTCTATGGAGCAGTGATAGCATGAAAAAATTGAATGTAATAAAAAAATTAATAAAATTTGAAATTTTGTATGAAAATAATCGCCTCACACGCCATATAAAGTACAAAAGGATAGATTTTGCTCCTTGTAACAAATCAATTATGGCAAATAAGCTTCGTTAAACCAATTTGGAACAATTTATAAGACGTATTAACCCTCCGCTTACGCGTTAATAGCGCGAAATATATCGCGCGTTAATTGTCCCAAATTGGCCAAAATGGCAATCTTTAAACCCCCCTAATTTTACGAAAAATAATCACAGGTAAAATATCTTTTCAAAATTAAGCTCATCTTAACAATACCTTTTGAATGATATGGAAAAATTCCGTCAAAAATGGCTAGCTAAAAACTCGAATTTGTCTGAAGAAAAAAAACTCACCCCGAGCACAAATATTCCGTTACTTTTGTTACGAAAATCGGAACAAAAATCTTGATCAAAAAATAAGAGAAAGATATCGCCACTAATTGCTGAGGCAAACTTACTGATTCGTTTTCATTCAAGAAGAGCCCAATATCGGAAAACACTGTCGTTCTTATCTCAATTGATTTTTCCGACAATTCTATTGTCCGTCGCTGTAGACTTTTATCATCACGTTTGTATTCTTCAAACAGTTCTCGCTGTTTTGTCGAGAGGGGAAAACGCACTGCTACAGGGATGAGAAAAACGCAATCCATTGGTTGCGTTAGTCGAAGGATGTCTGTCAACATTTTCCCCTGTAGTTCAACTTTATCAGTTTTTTTATCTTGGGGGTAGGTGATGCTATCTGCGGCTAAGTCAAACATTTCATCTTGAACTCCAAGAAACTCCAGAGATATTGGTCTTTCTCCGATTACGCATCCTCTTGGAAACTCAACAGAGACCAAATTTTGGCCATTTTGCTTGTTGATCCTAACGATTTTTCCGCTTGAAGTTACTCTGGTTTTTAGCATGTGTCTTGTTTCAATCGTCGCTTCAACTGTTTCTGTATCCAGCCTAATATCAGGCAAAGAGCAATCAGGAAGCTGGAAAAAAAAATCATTTTCTACGAAATGTTTAGCATAAGCATGCTAATCATTTTCTACGAAATGTTTACTTATACATTGGAAGATCAATGTAGAACGTTGGTGGTCAATGCTAAAATCATTTATCATGCGTTGCTCACTAAACAAGGACCATTTTGAATCAACGCTGCAAATGGTCATTTTGCCAGAGATGACAACCGATATTGAGAATAGCTTTGTTGAACACTAATTGTAGTTTCATCCAAAATGATTCAATCAGTTAATAGAGCTAAGAAAACATTTGTAAATTTACATTTCAAGACTTAACTGTTCGTTATTTGAAGTTCTTGTGTGATTACAGACTTGATTTTTTCTTTTTACTTGAGCCAAATTAGCAAAAAGTAGTTTGGATAAAGTTCAATTTATATCCCAAAATTGTTTCAATTGCGCCAGAAACTTTCAAAGCTTATATTGGTTCAAAAGCAAACTATGTTAATCTGAAATATTCTAGCCAATCAAAAATTTTTTGGTTAAAAAAGTTTCAGGGTCTAGATATCTCTTTTCCTCTTCTTTTAAAATATTTCAGTTATCCAGGTAGACATTCCCAAGTACGTTGAAAATCTGTTTTGTATATTAATTTCAAAATTATTGCCTGAAAAAGCACTTCCTAGAGTTTTTGTTAAAAAAAGAAAGAAAGCTACCTGTGAAACAAGTCAAGCTTTGTGCGAATAAAGCTTGCTCAAGTTGCAATTTTGTCACTGAGAAATTTTAGAAGCTAAATAGTCTCAATGTATAATTTTGAACCATAAAACTTTCACAGATATTCAAACAAAACATATAAAATAAACAAGACTGATCATATCATGGCCAGATTCTGAGTTTTGTTTTTGCGTTTCAAAATGTTGTAAGCTAAACATCATTTTGTTATAAAAAATTGATCATCATTTCTGATCTAAGCTTATGATACAAAATTAGTGGAAACACTGTTGCATTCATGTAATTTAAGCAAAGTACAAATGATTTAATTATTGAGTTACACAAAAGGATTTAATTATCGCATTAAAAAAACCAAATTGCGCGCTTGATAGATTGAAGATGATTTTTTAAATCTCCGTCTATTGTACCCTCACCTACACTTTTCAGCCATTATTAAGTAATTTGAATCACTGTTTTTTCGTTTGTTTCCATTTTTTTATATAAAAAAAGCAAGATGTACTCTTTTTATCGAATTGAAATTGTTGATTAATGATTCAATTCGCAGGTCCTCTGCAATTTTCAAGGTGATCTTTCGTAAGTTAGTCATAGCCTACTATGGGCGTAGGTTATAAGCGCTCTTTATCAAGATGTATCTCAGGTGAAAACTTTTTTCAAATTTGAACTCAAGCCTAGAAAATTTCTGGTTAAAAAAAAACAAACAAAAGTGGGCACAAATTTTCTGTTTTCTACCTCAGAAGTTGAATCAACAAGATATTTTTCTGAAAAGATCAAAATTGAAAGAATTCATGCAGTTATAATTAATTTTTTTCAACCCCCAGTCTAACTACTTAAGTATCAACACTTTCACAACCCAGTCTAACTACTTAACCCTTCAGCCCAACATCTTCTTTTCCGCCTTGTCCTTTATTTGTGGGCAAAAGAAATAAATAGTTTTTTGCAATATTTTATAATTTTTTAATCAAAGATTCGTAGAAAAATTGTTTATTGAAAACTGATTGAAGGCCAATGTTGAGCAGACAATTTTGTGAGCGGACTGTAAGTCCCATGTAATTAACCAAATTAATAGTGACTCCTGAGCTAGTCGAACTACAGTGTGAAGGATTTTGTTTTCTATGTTAACGGCTATCGTAAAGTATAGTACAAAACAAGCACACGAGCCCGTTTTTGTTCTAACTTTTGAAGAAAGTAACAAAACATTTGTGCTCGGTGTAGGTTTTTTTCTCCAGGCAAATTTTGATTTTTTAACTAGGCAAGGTACAGTTATCTTGAACTCAAACTTGAAAAAATTATTCACTTGAGAGTATTTTTTGTTAAGTTATGGGGTTTTAAAGTTTGCCAATATGGCAAATTTGGGACAATTATCTTACCGAACAAAGCAATTTTTTAGTCAAAATTTTCCGAAAAGAGCCCAAAAACGAAGAAATTTTCAAAACGAGGACCCGCCCTTGGCTTTGTTTCCAGGACCCAGGGGTAGATCTAGGAGCTTCTGAAGGGGGTCAAATTCTCAAAAATTGTTCGAACATTTTTTCGATTTTTTTAGGCCGACCAAATTGATTTTGTGAGCTCTTCCGAAGCACTAAAAAGACACTGTTTTAGCCGCAGGCACAATTTTGAGAAAAAAAAAGGAAAAAGGCGTTTTTAGCCTTTTTTGGAAAAGCTAAGCAACGTGCCAATTCCTTTCGTTGCCCGATTATTTCCCGTGATTTCAGATAGCTCATGATGCTTTTTTCGTATTCAAGTCGTTGTTCGTCGATTCGTTCTAACTCTGCAAGGGAGTCAGAATCTAGCGACCAGTCGAATTCTTCACCGCGTAAACCAGTTACTGCTCCTGTATGCATATCTTGTTCGATCAAGATTCCACAGACCTTAAAAAGCAGTCAAAATTTCAGGTCTTTGTCCTGATACGAGCAGTGTTGTTTTGCTATGTGAACGGTTATCATAAATATAGAATAAACAAGCCTTGTTTTTTTCCCTCAATTTTGTGATCTATTTTTATACTGCTTTTTCATACTATGTTAACCTATTTCAAAAGTTTTTTCATTGGCCAAAAAATGTCGAAAGAAAACATTCTGAAAACTTTTTTGAACTCCTCGAGAATTCTAGATCTACATATGCCTAAAATTACAAGATTGAATTTTGCAATATGTTAACCTTATTTTTTTTGTCGACTTCGTTAAGGCTGACATCGCTCGTCGTTGTCTCCGTACTCAAACATTTGTTTCTTACATCTTTCCAAATATGACTCCTCCGAAAGTTTTTTGGCGCAATTGGACGTCTGGCAGACCATTTGAAGAATTGCTGTTCTCCTATTTCTTTGGCAATTTCTTTAGCCTCACTAACTCCTTCGGTCAAGACAAGTAAAGACGTACTTAATATGTCTGTTGCAAATTTCTGATTTGGAAGCCACTCCAGTGCTTCCAAAGCACAGCGAATAGAGAAATCGTTCAGGTTTATAAGGCTTGACATTTTGAAAATCCAGTATTCGAGGATGTCAGTTGTATCTGATCTATCTTCTTCAATTGTCATCAAACTTTTCTGCGCGAAGTCAGCTAAGCAACGTGCCAATTCCTTTCGTTGCCCGATTATTTCCAGTGATTTCAGATAGCTCATGATGCTTTTTTTGTATTCAAGTCGTTGTTCGTCGATTCGTTTTAACTCTGCAACGGAGTCAGAATCTAACGACCATTCGAAATTTTCACCGCGTAAACCAGTTATTGCTCCTGTATGCATATCTTGTTCGATCAATTTCTCGAGCAAAGAATCATTTTCATTGAAACTGTCATTTGCAATCCTAGTCCTGATTTCTCTTATCAGTTCGTAGCTCCGATGCCAGAACGGGTATATCCAGATTGCCATAAGTGAATAGGAAATAGCGTAAAAACCACAGAATTCGAGCGATAATTCCTCCCTGTTTGCGTCCATAAACTTTTGTGTCCATGCGCTCATGCAATTCAAAAATATTTCGCTGTTGTTGGTCAGAAGCTTAGCCATTTGTTTTGGACCATTTTTAACGGACATTGTCACGCTTTTTTTGTCAATAGTTTTTTCGTCACGCATCGTGATCTCGCAGCTTAGATAAAAAGCAATGTTCTGGTACAATTTAAGAGCATTGAATGGGTCTTTGAGACGATTGAACTCGGTTGCTTTTGATTTCCACTTCTTCCATCTACTACTGGGTCCCGAAGACGGAATCTGCGTTTTCTGTGTCCAAAGAGTTTCTGCAGCAAGTTCCATTTGATTTGGTAATTTGTTCTGAGTCTGCTCACGTAGAAACTGATTCCATCTGAGAAGATAGTTGAACTCATGATAAACGTTAGCATGGAACAGATGAACTTCAAATTGATTAGCAAAATGGTCAGACTGAAAAATGAGATATGTGCTCCAAAAATATTCCACCGTGTAAAAATGGAAATTCCCAACATCGCCCAAGATAAGTACACGTGTAATTCCACATTTAATTAGCTCTTCCAGGTGTTCTTTTTTGTAGACATCGTGTAACTGGAAAACAAGATCACCTCCGGGTCCTTCGAGAAGATTGATGCCTTTTATTTTTGGTTGGCGAATTTTCAATTGATTTGAGTGGGTTATCAATTTGAATGGCATAAAGTTGTAGTAAATGGTCCCAACGATTAAACTTTTTCCCGATTCAAGATATTTCAACAACTTTTCCAATTCCAGTCTGATCTTTGTGTTTTGCGCCTCTTCCTCCTGTTTTATGTTGTCGTTAGTGTAACCAGCGTTCTGAACAATGGCTAATTTTATGGTTGCTCTAGTGATCAAAGAAAGAAGCCCAGTTTGAAACTTGTTCCTCTGGTTTTCGCTGATGTTTATCCACAGCAAAACTACCATCACGCGAAATTCAACATTATTCATTTGCACATCTTCAAAATTGAAGAAGCAAACTGAAGGAATTGCACTACTCCACGAGTAAGGTACAAAGCCTCTCTGTGTCTGAATTTTGCTTTCGATTAGCTCTGACTGAATCCGATCTAATAAAGTACTCGGGATGTCTACAGCAACTGGTAAAAAGTTACACAGGTATGTCATTTTCAGGTACTCTTGTATTACCGAAACGGCATTCTGGACAAACGCAGTCTCAAAATCAGAATAATCACTTTGTATTTGTGACACCAGACGAATATCTGGCTTGTCACCTGGGTAATTATGAGAAGTTTTGATTTCTGCTTCATCTTTGTAAACACTTGGAAAAAACTTCATCCAACTGTCTGCGAATTTCGAAATTTCTTTAGTAGATCTAAGTGAAGCAGAGAGATTCAAGGCGTCGAATTTGAAGGTTTCGGGAACATTCAATAGCTTCAAATTTGATGTCAATATGATTAGATGCTGATTTTGATGGGATAACAAATTACTCATTAGTTGAGCATTAAAATTGTTCAGTTTGTCACGAGGGTAGCTACAAATAGTGATATTTTTAATAATTTATTCGAAATAACAAATTATTTCAGTCATATATTTGCTAAAAAAAATTGAAATGACCAACTTGGGTCATTTCAGTTTATGTAGCAAAAGCATCCTCAATATCTATATGAGATCAATCTTGAAGATTGATCTCATATAATCAAGATGTTTTATTTCTAGGTGATTCTAGGTGGCCAGGTGATTCATTGCAGGATATACAATTTTGAGCTTCTCAGCCTTTTATTTTATTCTTTATTGGGTTGGCAGTTAATTACATATGACCAGGGGCGGATCTAGGATTTTCTCGAGGGGCGGGAATTTTCAAAAAATTTTCAAAAGTTTTGATGACCTTTTTTTAGCGGTAAAAAGATTTTCGGGCACTTTTTGGAAAATTTTGGCAAAAAAGTCGCGTTTTTTTAGCGCGCTCTCTCCCTCAACCCCTCAAAAAATTGTATATACTGGCGCCAAAGTTTTAGGGTCCATCGGCCAAAAATGGATTTCTTAAAATGTACCAAAGGGGGAACCATTGGGTCAGCAGGGGGTCGAAT